GGACTTTCCCGTCCTGCGTCTGCACTCTGACAGAGGTGGTGAGTTTGCCTCTGACTTTCTGCGGGACTTTTGTCGTGGGAAGGGCATTCGCCAGACGTTCACGCTCCCGGCCTCACCGTAGCACAATGGGATTGCTGAGCGCCGCATTGGCTTAGTCATGGAGGTCACTCGTACCTTCATGGTCCATGCGGCTGCCCCCCATTTTCTGTGGCCGTTTGCGGTCCGATACGATGCGCATCAGCTCAACCTCTGGCCCCGTGTCTCCATGCCGTAGACCTCGCCCACACTGCGTTGGACGGGGAAGGTTGGCGATGCGTCAGTGTTTCGGGTCTGGGGTTCTCGTGCCTTTGTCCGCGATACTACCGCGGACAAGCTCTCCGCCCGTGCTGTTCCCTGTGTCTTCCTTGGCTTTGTCCCTGACGCGCCTGGTTGGCAGTTTTACCACCCCACCTCGCGCCGTGTCCTGCCCTCTTAGGACGTCACGTTCGACGAGTCGGTTCCCTTTTACCGTCTCTTCCCCTACCGCACTTCCTCTCTCCCCCCCCCGCCGCTCTTCCTTGCCCCAGGTCCTCCTCCGGTAGACCCCCTTCCCCCTCAGGGTCCTGCTCCCTCAGGTGTGTCCCAGGTAGACGCTGTCGAGTCTGTCAAGGTAGCGGTTGACTCTGGTGCTGCTGGGGGTGCTGAGCCTGAGCGTGTGGAGCCTGGGGGTGCTGAGCCTTAGCGTGTGGAGTCTGGGGGTGCTGAGCCTGGGGTTGCTGAGTCTGAGGGTGCGGAGCCTGGGGTTGCTGAGTCTGAGGGTGCGGAGCCTGGGGGTGCTGAGCCTGGGGGTGCTGAGCCTGGAGGTGCTGAGCCTGCGGTGGCTGAGACTGGGGGTGCTGAGTCTACTGGAGTTCCTACAGGTGCCTCGTCTTGGCGGGAGCCTCTCTCTCCATCGCAGCTGCGCGAGTGGTTTGCTAGCCGCTGGAGACTCCAGCGAGGTGCTGCTGGAGCTGGAGCTGCTGGAGGTACTGCTGGTGCTGGAGGTTTTGGAGGAGCTGGAGCTGCTGGAGCTGGAGGTGCTACCGGAGCTGGAGCTGCTGGAGGTACTGCTGGTGCTGGTGCTGCTGGAGGTGCTGGAGCCGCTGTTCCCGGAGGTGCTCATACTGGAGATACTGGAGCTGCTGGGGCTGGTGGTGCTGCCGGAGTTGGAGCTGGAGGCGCTCGTGTTGTTGCTGCTGGAGGTGCTACTGGAACTGGAGCTGCTGGAGGTGCTGGAGCTGGTGGTGCTGCGGGAGTTGGAGCTGCAGACCCTGGAGCTGGGGGTACTGGTGCTGTCTCTGCTGGTTCTGGAGGCGCTGCGCGGCCGCGGCCGTACTTCGTTCCGTTCTTCACCAGGTTCTTGGCCTCCTGCCTTCTACTCGTCCCACTCTTCCCTTACTGAGTCCACCGCCTGACCAGTCGCAGTCGCAGTTACAGCTAGCCTCTCCACTGCCTGGTCCTTCTCCTTACTCTGGACCGACTAGAGGTCTTACGGAGCGTCGTGAGCCTGAGTCTCGTCCTGCGTCGCCTTTTCGCACTGTTCGCACTGGTAGTCGTGTCCCGCTTCCGCGCCCTCCTGCAGTCCTAGGCACGCACCAGATGGCACTTCGTCCTTCCACTGCTCCACTGCGTGTCCCTCTGCCGTCTCCTCCTGCGTCCTCTCTTCCTAACCGTCCGGACCCGGAGTTTGACTCCCTTCGTGCTACTAGTCCTACTGTCACGCGTCTCCTGGCCACTGTTGTCACTGACCCTTCGTTTGAGTCCACTGCTGCGTCTGCCCTAGTTGCTGAGCTTGTTGACTTTGCTGCCGCCTGTCGTCTAGACTACGCCGCTAGTCTTGTTGCTGAGTCTGAGTCTGTCTGTCCTCCGTCCGTCGGGGGTGAGTGTGCTCTTGGCACGGACGTCCTTGAGGACAGACAGGAGGAGTTCGAGTGCTACTTTACCTCATCTCGTGTCCATGCTGCTTGCCCCTGAGGGAGACCCGGATGCACCAGACATCCCGACCCCGCGCTCTTACGCAGAGGCGATAGAGGGTCCCTACTCCTCTCAGTGGCAGACAGCCATGGACGCAGAGATGGCTTCCTGGAAGTCCACAGGCACCTACGTCGACGAGGTTACCCCGCCTGGGGCGAAAATCGTCAGTGGCATGTGGATTTTCAGGGTGAAGCGGCCACCGGGTTCTCCGCCTGTCTTCAAGGCGCGTTACATTGCACGAGGCTTCAGTCAGCGAGAGGGAGTTGACTTCTTCCAGACCTTCTCCCCCACCCCGAAGATGACCACTCTTCGGGTTCTGCTGCACGTAGCTGCTCAGCGTGACTACGAGCTGCATTCTCTTGACTTCAGCACTGCTTTCCTACAGGGCAGCCTGCACGAGGAGATCTGGCTGCGCCGCCCACCTGGCTTCACTGGGTCGTTTCCTGCTGGTACCCAGTGGAGCCTCCGGCGGCCAGTCTACGGTCTCCGCCAGGCGCCCCGTGAGTGGCACGACACACTGAGGACGACCCTTGCGGCTCTTGGCTTTGCTCCTTCCACTGCTGACCCGTCGCTGTTTCTACGCACCGACACCTCTCTGCCGCCGTTCTACGTCCTCGTGTACGTCGACGACTTGGTCTTTGCTACTTCTGACACTGAGGGACTCGCCCACGTGAAGTCGGAGCTGCAGAAGAGACACACGTGCACAGACCTGGGTGAGCTGCGCAGCTATCTTGGCTTGCGGATCACCCGGGACAGAGCACAGCGCACCATTAATTTGACTCAGTCACACATGGTGCAGCAGGTCCTTCAGCGCTTCGGCTTCACGTACTCCTCGCCACAGCCCACTCCTCTGCCTACTCGCCACTCGCTCTCAGCTCTGCCTTCGGATGAGTCCGTAGAGCCGAGTGGCCAGTATCCAGAGCTTGTGGGCTGCCTCATGTACCTGATGACCTGCACTCGACCGGACCTGGCATACCCTCTTAGCATCATGGCACGCTATGTTGCTCCTGGGAGACACCGGAAGGAACACATGGATGCCGCTAAGAGGGTGTTGCGCTACTTGTGCAGTACGTCGGGCATGGGGCTCGTGCTTGGAGGACGGGCTCGAGTTGTCCTCACTGGTCACGCAGACGCTTCCTGGGCTGATTACTTGGCTACGCAGCGGTCGTCACAGGGTTACACTTTCAGCCTTTGCTCCGGCTCAGTTTTGTGCCCACTGGGCCTCACTTGCTTACTTCTTGACTTTGCTTGTACTGTGATCTCTATACATATACCTGCATGCTTACACTTGCTAGATTGTGATCACTGTATTGCTTGTTCTCCTCTGTATATCTCTGCATGTGAACTGGCCTTGTGGCCATTTGCGTGTGCTCGGAATGCGTGGTGACGTCGTGATCCACCCTGAGCTTGCTTTGCCTTTCTTGACTGGTCTTGTGACCTCTTGTTCTCTCCCAATTTGCGTATGGGGGTGTGTCAAACTTATATGCTATAGTCCGTGTAGGCTGTAGTGGGGTAGTTCATATGGGGTACAACATTTTTAGGTTTTCCTACTTGTACCCACCTGCTTGCTAGTTCATTCATTCCTCGTTTTACTTTCACAACTCTGCCTCTCTTGCTTACCTCTTGACTTTGCCTTGTACTAGATATATATATATATATTTATATTTATATATATATATATCCACTCACATGCATGCTTACTCTTGCTAGGTTGTCATCGCTGTACGGCTTGTTCTATTATCACACTGCATGTGAACTGGCCTTGTGGCCGCTTGCTTGTGCATCTTGAGATCCACCCGGCGTTGATTTGTTTCTTCTCTTGAATGGTCTTGTGAGCGTTTGTTGTTCTCGCTATCCCTCACTTAGCCTATGGGGGTGTGTCAAAACATATACATATTTATGTTATGCTATAGTGAGGCATGCTATAGGATGTACAAACTTTGCTACGGTTTGCTACTTGTATCCAACCCTTGCTGGTACACTTCATTTCGCTGTTAACAGTGCTTGACAACCAGTTATGAACCTTTTCCCGCCAATTCCTTGGCGATGCAGCTGCCCGATGTTTCTGCCGCTGGCGGTCCATATGTCCCAACTGTACGAAGATTTTTACGTAACTCTGACTGTTCACATTCGAACTCGCTAGTGTATGTTTCTTTGTTTCGGGCAGGAATGCACTGCACTCTCATTTTACTTATCGTAACAACATTCACTATGAGAAGGTCACTCTAAGATGATATCTTAAACTTCTAGCACCTTGTCCTCTCCAAATCAATACTCGGGTGATTTCAAGACATATCATGACTGGACTGAATACAACACAAACAAATATCGAGATAATCTGCATGAGACCTCCACAAATTGACAATGAAAATACTGCTAGTTTCTCTTTATGGGAATGAAATTTCACAATAGCTGCTGAAGCAAGTATTTCTACGTGACTGAATCTATGATATCTTTTAACTTTGTTTGTTGGTACAGCTTGTTATCGAGGTTTCTCATGCTCCACATTATCCCCCTTGCTTTGTCCCTCCTTAGGACGCGTTACAATAAAAATGTATTGGTGGAGGATCGGTGCCACTCACCGAGTCAAGTACGTCGATCTCCTCCGACCACATGTTTCGCAAACGTCCTCAGGTTCGTTAGTTTGCGGGATTACAAACACTTGATTTGGGGACGGTGACAGGTCGTTATGGAAGATGTCTCGCCCTCGGTGACGTGACTCGAGTATTAGCGAAAATCAGCGAAACAAGGATACAGAACATGGCAATTTTTTGTGTGACCACCATCGAGCCCCCACTTATCGATGTTTCAATTGTGACGCGTCCTAACTACACGAATCTCCGATCTGCCAATTCTGGTGCGGAAAATCTCGCGGATTGATAAAGGAGGGGCAGTGAGATAGGTTGCACATCAGCCCACTCCCTTTCAAATCCAAATTACCTCGTGTAGTGTATCCTCTTCTCTCGCCTCGGCTTTGCTGTCACTCGCGTCGCCGTATCGTCGCCACCATGTTTCGCAATCAGTACGACACGGATGTCACCACGTGGAGCCCCGTCGGCCGCCTGCACCAGGTGATCCGCCCCTCTCTCCGCCTCTCGCCCCGCCGATCCGCCTCTCGCCCCGCCGATCCGCCTCTCTGCTGCTATCACGTTCCACCGCTCTGCGAGACTGCCAGCCTGTTAGACTGCTAAGCCTCCAGGGCACGAACTCCGCTCGCGAATCGCCTCGGTAGGACAATTCTACAGTCCGATGGCAGTGCGACGGCTGTGCTACGGCTGTGCCACCCTAAAATAAATCCGCGTTCGAATTCCGCGACCGAATTCGGATCCCATGAAACCCCCTTGCTCTGCTCTCCCTCGCCCAGACCGTCGTCTTCCCTTGGTGCCAAGCGAGCAGCACGCTGCTGCCCCCACACTGCTCTTTACCCACCGCGCCCTCCTTCTCCTTCCCTCCCCTTCCATCCCCTTCCTTTTCCTCCCCTCCCCTCCCTCTTCCCGCCCTCTCCCTCCCTCCCCGACCTCCCCCTCCCTCCCCTTCTTCAATCTCCCTCCCGCAGGCTGCCCGTTCCCGTCCCGTCGAGCCCCCGCAGCGACCACCGCGCGCGCTGCCCTCCCGCTGTTGTTTCCCCACCGCGCGTGCTGCCCTCCCGCTGTTGTTTCCGTGCCTCGCCTCGTCCGCCCTACCCCATCGCTTCCTCCCTTTTGCGTCCTTCCCGGTTACCCCCGCGCCCGCGATTCTCTCCTCCTTTCCCCTTGTCAACCTTCTCGCTTCTTCCTCCCTCTTCCCTCGCCCAACCCCCACCTCATCCCATTCCAACCCGTCCCCTAGCGTCTCACCCCTTTCGCACTCAGGCGGATACGCCACAGAGGCCCTTCTCTCACTGCTCTCTCACACGCCCCTCTCCCCCCAACACCCTGCCCTCCCGCCTGTCCCCCCCCACGGCCTCGCTCCTGCGCATGTGAGAGGGGATACGCCATGCACGCCGTGCACTGGTCTCCAAGCCGCCCTTCCTCCCTCTGCCCCAAGCGTCCCCCCAACCCAAATCCAGCTGCCATGCGCAGGTGGATTAAGGCGTGGGGGCGGCGCAGCTGACGGGCTGCTTGGGCGACATGCTTGCATTGCTGCCTAACCCCCCTTTTCCACTCCTCCTCCCCTTCACACCCGTTACACCCTTCACACCCCTCACATCCTTCACACCCCTCACACCCCTCACACCCCTCACACCCCTCACACCCCTCCCCCTCCCCCCACCAGCAGGTCGTGTGCGCAGGGCAGTGTGCGCAGGGCAGTGTGCGCAGGGCAGTGTGCGCAGGGCAGTGTGCGCAGGGCAGTGTGCGCAGGGCAGTGTGCGCAGGGCAGTGTGCGCAGGGCAGTGTGCGCAGGGCAGTGTGCGCAGGGCCGTGTGCGCAGGGCAGTGTGCGCAGGGCAGTGTGCGCAGGGCAGTGTGCGCAGGGCCGTGTGCGCAGGGCAGTGTGCGCAGGGCAGTGTGCGCAGGGCAGTGTGCGCAGGGCAGTGTGCGCAGGGCAGTGTGCGCAGGGCAGTGTGCGCAGGGCAGTGTGCGCAGGGCAGTGTGCGCAGGGCAGTGTGCGCCGGGCAGTGTGCGCAGGGCAGTGTGCGCAGGGCCGTGTGCGCAGGGCAGTGTGCGCAGGGCAGTGTGCACAGGGCAGTGTGCGCAGGGCCGTGTGCGCAGGGCAGTGTGCGCAGGGCAGTGTGCGCAGGGCAGTGTGCGCAGGGCAGTGTGCGCAGGGCAGTGTGCGCAGGGCAGTGTGCGCAGGGCAGTGTGCGCAGGGCAGTGTGCGCAGGGCAGTGTGCGCAGGGCAGTGTGCGCAGGGCAGTGTGCGCAGGGCAGTGTGCGCAGGGCAGTGTGCGCAGGGCAGTGTGCGCAGGGCAGTGTGCGCAGGGCAGTGTGCGCAGGGCCAACCACGCAGTGCTCGCCACTCTCTCCCACTCCGCTCCTTCCCTTGCCGTGCCTCCCTGCTCGCTCCCGTGCCATGCTCTTCTCTCCCCCACGCTCCCCGCACATGGCACCAGATGGAACATGCGATGGAGGCAGGGAAGCAGGGCAGTGCGGCACAGGCAAGACACGTGTGCCTCGCGGCCATCCTTCCTCGTGCCCTCTCCCCCCCTCTGTCTGCCCCGCTCCTCCCCACCAGGTGGAGTATGCAATGGGGGCGGTGAAGCAGGGCAGTGGGGCAGTCGGCCTGCGCAGCGATGCATGCCAGCATCACTCCCTAGCCTCCCTTCTCCGTTCCTTGGCCCCCCTCACTTCCCTCCCCTGCCCTCTCCCCCATGCCATCAGGTGGAGTATGCAATGGAGGCAGTGAAGCAGGGCAGTGCGGCGGTGGGTCTGCGCAGCACCACGCACGCGGTGCTGGCCACGCTCAAGAGAGCGGCGTCCCCCCTGGCGTCGTACCAGCGCAAGATATTCCGCGTGGACGACCACATGGGCATCGCCATCGCTGGGCTCAATGCGGACGGCCGCGTGCTCTGCCGCTTCATGCGCTCCGAGTGCTTGTCTCACAAGTGAGTGCTTGTCTCACAAGTGAGTGCTTGTCTCACAAGTGAGTGCCCCGTGCTTCAATCCCTCATGCACCAATGGGTGCTCCACACATTGTCCACTCCACACACCGCCCACTCCACACACCGCCCACTCCACACACCGTCCACTCCACACACCGTCCACTCCACACACCGTCCACTCCACACACCGCCCACTCCACACACCGTCCACTCCACACACCGTCCACTCCACACACCGTCCACTCCACACACCGCCCACTCCACACACCGTCCACTCCACACACCGTCCACTCCACACACCGCCCACTCCACACACCGTCCACTCCACACACCGTCCACTCCACACACCATCCACTCCACACACCGCCCACTCCACACACCGCCCACTCCACACACCGTCCACTCCACACACCGTCCACTCCACACACCGCCCACTCCACACACCGCCCACTCCACACACCGTCCACTCCACACACCGTCCACTCCACACACCGCCCACTCCAGCGCAACATCTCCCACACGTAGTTGGTTACTGCAGTGAGGGCGCTGCAAGTCTCTCCCCTGGCGTGCTACCAGCGCAAGATCGTCCACATGGGTATCGCCTTTACTGTGTCAATTTATGCGCTCCGAGTGCGCGCCACTTTAGTGAGTACACATGGACAGATTAATGTTCTGTGGGTGCTTGTCGCATGGGCATGGGTGCGTGTCTCACAAAGGACTGCTCCTCACCCTTCTCTCGTCGCCCTTCGAGACATCCTTCCTTCAATCTACTGCCATCCCTCTACTTACCCTTTTCTCACTAGCGTACGTGTACCTGTGGTCTCCGATGTTCATCTACCTCTCTGTTCCCCCCCAGGGTTGTTCTACAGGCCCTTCTACTGCCAGGCTTCAGTTCCAATATCAGTGGTAGAACCACCACTCTCTCCCCTCAATTATCTTTGCCCCCGTCTCCCACCACCCTTCTCTCCCTCCCACTTTCTTCCCCTTAACTCTCTATCCCCATGTCCACATCTGCCCTGCCATCCACTACCCTCCCCACATCTCCCATCCCCTCCCAGGTTTGTCTTCGAGTCGCCTCTCCCGGTGGGCCGCCTTGTCTCCATGGTAGCAGACAAATCTCAGGTGTGCACGCAGCGCTCGTGGCGCCGCCCGTACGGCGTGGGGCTGCTGGTGGCCGGCTTCGACCAGACCGGCCCGCACATTTTTCAGACCTGCCCGTCGGGCAACTTCTGGGAATTCCACGCCATGGCAATCGGGGCGCGTTCGCAGGCCGCCAAGACGTACCTGGAGCGCAAGTATGAGTCGTTTGGGGCGTGTTCGCTGGACGAGCTGGTGCGACACGCGCTGCTTGCTGTGAAGGAGTCGCTGCAGGAGGGGGAGCTGAGTGGAGCCAACTGCAGTGTCTCTATTGTGGGGGAGGGGCAAGCGTTTAGCATTCTGACGGATGCGCAGGTGCAGGAGCATATAGATAGGATGGAGAATGAGGAGGGTGGGCAGGGAGGGGCGGCGAAGGAGGAAGTAGAGGTGGTGGAGGAGGTAGAGGTGGAGGATGTGGAGGAGGAGAAGGCAGGGGAAGGAGAGGAGGGTGGTACCGGGGAGGGGTCTGAGGGTCCTGCTCCTATGGAGGCTTGATAATTGAGGTGCGGAGCATATATTTTGACACGAGTGCAAATAATTGTAAATCACGCAGCATTGTGATGCTTGTGGTTTAATTGATTAGCTATAACTTTTGTGCTTGAACTCCAAGAGCGACTATCTAAGAATACTGTACGGTACGACTATCTGGTGGCTGTTATTGCGTTGAACAATAGGTTTTGCACATCAATGTACAGTCCAATACTCTTGGGTTCCATGACTGCCGTCTCTTATAAAAGCCCGCTTTGCCCCTGCGGGTTTTCCCTGGAGGGATTTTCGTTTTCCCGCAGTCGCCTAGTGGCGCACGCGAGGGGCGGGAGCCAATCCCCCCTCTCGCCCGAAAGCGGGCACCCCCAGTTGGCGCCAGCTGCTGATGATGCCAGCGACCCGCGCCCTCGAGCTGGCAGTGGTCCCCCCCAACCGAACCCAACCACACCCTCGGTTCGATGACGGGTTCCGTCCGGTAACCCACCAAACCCTCACCGGGCGTCGCCTCGCCGACGGAACCCGTCCGCGAATTTTCGTGAGCGGACGGAAGCGACGCCCATCTACGCCGCGTTGCACCGCTCTCGCCCTCGATGGGCCCGTTTCGTTTGGCGCTCGACCCTGGTGACGTGTCGAACGCCCCCTCCGCTAATTGAAAGGGGCCTTTCCGCTGCATTCAGGGCGCCCCACCTCATGCAACCACCAAATTTCACATCGAGGCCAATAAGGCCCCGCCGCCCACTGCGAAAAGCTCCTCCTCCCTTCGTCGCGAAACGCGCCCTGCCTCGTCGCCCTTGCACCCGAGTATGTCTCGGTGGGGGGGATGGCAAACAGCTAATACCTGAGAGCGTTCTCATTTTGTTGTTGTTTTCTTCCAACCCCCTTCCTACTCTCTAATTCCCAACTTTCCTGCGCTCCCGCCACCCCTACTGCTAGGCCTGCCATGGCTACAAGCCCCGCCTCCCTACCCGTCGTGAACGAGCCGACGGTTCGACGCGGCCTCATCCTAACTGTTGAACTAAGAGGAGAGGAATGAGTCGACTAGGTCAAAGGGTGGGGTACAAGAGTGTCGAGAAATGTTATGTACCCTCTAAGGATAACCCCTACATAGCCTAGACAGATAGAAATCATATATTGTTTTGACACACCCCCAGAGGTGAAGTAGGGGATAGCCAAACAAAATAGTGGTCACAAGACCAATCACGAGAAGCAAGCAAAGCAAAAGACCATGTGAGACAGCGTCAGGGTGATGGTGCGCCGTGCTCTGTCCCGGGTGATCTGCAGGCCAAGATAGCTCCGCAGCTCACCCAGGTCAGTGCAGGTGTGTCTCTCCTGCAGCTCCGCCTTCATTAGGGCCAGTGCCATGGAGGACCGGGATTGTCTCAAATTCACACCCGCATCTCCCAACCGGCCGGTAGAAATTAGGTTCACGCACAAGTCCAGCACGCACAATACGTTCTTCAGCCCCACGAGCTCTCCATCCGCTCCCATGAAGTTGGCGCATCCCATGCCCATAACCTTTGCCTTCGCGCCAGTTGCGGATATGACTGTAGAAATCGGTGCGGACTGAACCTTATCAAGTAGGTCGGCGCGAGGAGTCATATGCCACGAGCTCCGAGAGTCAATCACCCAATGGGTGAGGGGATGTAGGAGAACCTTGGCAGCCATGGCGGGGTCGGTTGCGCATTCGTTCACGAAGAAGAAAAACCTGTCCTTTCGCTCCCCAGTTTTGACGCACTTCTCCTCATCCTTCTCCTCTCCACTAGCTCCCATAACTCCCCCACTCCTCTTGCCACCATGCTGGTTACTTGATGAAAAGGGGGTCCAATCCTTAGGTAGTTAGTAGAACTTCCTCCATCGATGCCCGCGCTTCTTGCAGTAGAAGCACACCTCTCCTTGACCTCTGCCGCTCTCCTCTTTAGGGTTGTTGTTGTTCTTGCCCTTCCACTTCCTCTTGAGGCCGCTCTTTACACCTCCAACTTCATAGTCAGCCCCCTCCTCCGAGCACTCCACACTCCGGCGCCGCAAGTCTTCCTCAAGTATGCGCGCTCGGATGTAATCCGCGCTCCATTGGGGCTATTGGGAGTTGAGGTCGATAACAAGGGCAGACCACAACTCCGGCACCCGTATCACGATCTCCGCGCATTCCACGAGCTCCGGGAACACAACAACGTCGCCTTGAAGCTTCATGAAGATGTCGCGCCTCTCTACTCTAGCCATCTCGCCATTAGCACCTCTGGAGTCCGTATGAACCATACAGAGGCCTCATGAACGGTGGAAACTTGAGAAATCGTTTAGAGAGAATTCGGCGAGAAATTTCAATCTATGAAAATCCGCCGTTGCGGAATGGATACTTTGAATTTGCACACGAATCGAAAGGTTGCGAGCAGAACTACTAGAAAAAGGTCTCACTCGTCAACATTGGTTGAGAATTGATGACGATTTGTCGTCTCAAAGTGGACTACTCGCTCTGATACCACTTGTTGTTCAGGATCCGTCACTTTGAGAATTTACTCCGAATTCAATTTTCAACTAAACGGTCTATAAAGTTTAATCAGTTGTTAAGATGGTCTATAAAGTGAGGACGATCTGAAAATGTCCAGCAGCTGCATTGACTAGGATGTTGGAGCGAGTACAAGTATTAAGGCATAAGATGGTAAGAGTTGGGGATTCCAAAAGAACCATGAGAGGGAAGAGAACCTCTAGAACCTCTGCAAAAATCAAATTTAGTTGGATTATGACTAGGTGTTGCAACATTGCAACCCATGTTAGAAACTCATAGCCACCCCAATCCAAAAGATAAAGTTGGCTTTCTAACCACCGAACCAAAGATTCCTTTATGGATAATAAAAGAGATAATAAACCCATGTAGATAATATATCAAAATGAGATAACATCCCAAAAATTGGAAATCATTTAACTTGGGCGATCTTGGTCGGAATAATTCGATCTTTGTATCGATAAAAAGATATGAATTTCTTGTTGGATGCACGTCATTATGAGTGCATGTCATCCTAACGTCCTACCGAGTGCTCGTGCTATTCATGCGTGCATTATTTGCATGAGCATATGTCATTGTGCATGGCTGTTGGATATTTTCATCTCTGTGTTTTTCTCCAAGTTTAAACGCTTGAACATGCAGGAGAAATCCGGAGCTTTCCAACGATACCAAGATCGCCTTATTCCGACGAAGATCGCCTAGTTACAAGATTTCCAAGATTTGGATTTCTTATTATCTTGAAGGTTATATCTAATTTGGGTGATTACTTGGGACATGACTATAAAGGGATCTTTGGTTGGGTGGTTAGGGAAGACAACTTTGACTTTTGGATTGGGGTGGCTATAAGTTTCTAGCATGAGTTACAAATGTTGCAACACCTAGGCAAAATCCAACTAGATTGGATTTTGCATGTGACACCTCAAGGACCTCATAATGAGGGTTGCATCCTTGCTGCTATAAAGGTTCCTGCCATCCTTCCCTAGCTCTTGGAGAACCCCTTCCCTCTCATGGTTCTTTTGGAGGTTCCCAACTCCAACTCCCCATGCCCTAATGCTTGTACTTCCTCCACCATTCTAGTCATGCGGCTGCTGGACGTTTTTACTTGGTTCTCACTCTATAGACCATCTTAACAACTGATTCAATTTGGAGATGGTAGCTAAGTCTAAGGCGCAACTTCCTACTGAGCAGATTTGCGTTTAGTTGAGAAATGAGTTCGTCGTAAGCTCTCAAAGTGGCGGATCCTGAACAACATTTCTCCTGGATGAAAGCATATAGACTTGGAGAAAAACACGAAGATTGTAAAATCCATGCATAACAACATATGCTCTTGCAATTATGCAAGTGTGAATGCAACGAGCACTCGGTAGAACGTTAGGATGACATGCACTATGAATGACGTACATTCAACAAGCTGTTCCGGCAGAATCGCAGCCAGCACCGACACGGGAAATATTTTCATGCTCTTCGCCATGTAGTTTAGAATTCAGTACCCCCATTTGTTTTCGCATACAACCAATCCACTTGTTCAATCATCTAGGACCCGCATCATCATCTTATTGTCACCTCTCTCCCCAATCTCTCCCGGTGTGCTGCACCACGAGCGACTTTTTCTCTTCAAACCTCCTTCAGCAGTTATACGCGATTCGGTGACCTTTCAGTCGACTCAAAACTCACCTCATCCTCTCCCCTCTCCCAAGTCCCCCTTCCCTTCAGCTTCACCGCCGATCACGGGGCCTCCTTTCGTTAAACATCCTCAAGCTGCTACGCAATATTAAAGTCGCCTCGCCTCCAGTGCTGCTGGCTGTCGGCAAAGCTCGGAGCTCAGCAGCTAGTCCAGGCGGCTCGACTTCTCTCTATAGTACGTTCAAGAGGTAAGTTGGTTCTAGAAAAAATATTAACATGAAGTGTCATCGAGTGAGATGTTTACTTCCGACAATATGTTCAAGAGGTAAGCTTGCTCTCGAAGACCCTACATTGGCAAAAAAAACGTTCAGATACGTCAATACGCTGGCGTGTATACACAATACCTCAATGGGTCAGATTGAGTATACGCTTTTCCTGGCAGCTAAAAAACTCTAGGCAAAGAAAAATGGGTTGTTTTAAGGGGGGGTTAATGAGGGTTGTGTTTCAGAGTTCATATTTTTCATTAGTGCTGTGTTGGTACCGGGACTAGAAAATTGAATGAGTTGGGCAATTCGGCAAGCTGTTAAATATCCGAATGAGTGGCGGGAAGGCGAAGAAATTACGCCCGGGTATAGCGTATTCGCAAGCGTTCAGCGTGTAGCGTGTACATGCTAGCGGCTAGTGTACATACCCTAACTGCTGGGGCTTTTGCATATATTTCAACATAAAGAAGACCTTTCAAGTGAGCTCACACTAGAAAATTGAAAATTTAATATTCAAGTGACATTTTTTATTATTATTGAAATTTTATTCTCATGGTTTTTTCTCTGTTGTGCAGACCCCTCCCCCATCCACCGCCCCTCTCCCCCTCCCCTCCCCCCCCTCCCCC